AAAGGAATGATCAAACCACATATTTTAAGTCTAGATAGAACATTTAATAGGGGGGGGGGTATTTCACTAAAAAGTATCTCCTTCTGCGCAACGCTAAATCAAATATTGGATTGGTTGCAACCATTTTTATCAATATTATGAGTGTAGAGATGCGTTGATATGACCTACATTCACCGCAACATGTAGGTATATTTTTTTTTTTACTAGCGCCGAATGCGTTTATTATTGTTATTATTTTGTAATGAGCTAGAGAAAGAAGTACTTAGAACAGCAGCTACTGTTGCAGTGATACCCACTGTAGTGTATGCAATTTGTTGAGTTGAACCTGTCATAAACTTAGTCAAGGCCTTTTTGAGATTATGTTCTACGGGACCCCTCAAGAAGCAATATAGTAAGACCCAATAGACAGCCCCTTTATAAGCAAAAGAAAAGTGAAATAATTTCCGTGTCCATCTCATCATCTTTTGTTCGGCCCTCACAAGCTGTAGTTTCAGTGGTGATGTAACATGTAAACTGTGTGGGTGATTGTTGGGTAACATGTGAGGAAAATGAGGGGCGGAAGATTTGATCAAGAGCATACTATCATCCAAGATGAAATCATCATGAGCTTCTTCTGATATTAATTGATTTAATCTCTCAGTCAAGTCGTTTCCATCTAGTGTAGGGTTGGTTGGATTCGATGTGGCCCGAAAGAAGGATGTCAGGAAGGTATCACCCATGTGAAATCCATTCAAGAAATACCTAGGTTCAGAAGGAGCTCTCACTGTGATCTGCTGTCTATTTTGATAGGCATTGATGGGAGTCAGTGATCCTGGTGTACCATAAACACTGGGACAGGCGGATGTATATGTGGATCTGATCGCATCAAAATTGCTTGATTGTCTTCTCGATAGGTATTGAGGAGCGTCAAAAAATATACCACTTTCAATGGATGAGACCGATGAGCTACGTGATGTACGTGTGGATAACATGATTGGTGATGACGGTGATAGTGGGCTGTCAATGACAAATCTCTTTTCGGTTGCATATAAATCCAACATGGCGTCTGACTCTAAACTCCAATTATAATCTGAATTTCCACCCAGCGCTATCCATAACAAAGAGCATTATTAGGAAAATATTAAATACAAAAAAAAAAAAAAAAAAAAAAAATGAAATTTTACCTCGTAAAAGATTGTCCTGTCCAATGATTTGCTTCATTTCTTCTGCGGTGGTGAAACTTACTCTTGCCTTTGCCTGTTCACTTAAGACTAATTTTACAACCTGCCAGATGCCTTGGTACATCCAACCGAAATTCATAACATAAACTGAGCCTACAAAGCCGGGGAATCGCGAGTTATTTATGTTGAGGAGCATTTGAATTAGATTGGAATCGATTGGTACGAACGGAGCCTTTGTGATATCAATAATGATGGCTATTTGAGAGACAAGAACGGGCTTATCAGTGACTTGATCGTTTTCATTTTTACGGGTTAAATCTCGAGTGATTTGTCTAGCCATTTCCATGACTAGACAAGCAAAAGGTTGCATATAATCGGCCAAAGTCTTTGTCTTATCTTTAAATTTAGGAAAGTATCGCATTTGTATCACTGCAATTGGTCTGCCGATTAAATCTTCTTTGTAGAAGAACGCAAAGGGTTCTTCAAAGAATTCAGGTGCAATGGATCGATACGTCATGCGTGCCACTCTATTTTCTATTCTCCATTGGATTGTGTCTATTAATCTTTCTATCGTCTTGTCTTGGTTAAATTCGGTGTCTTTTAAGAATCTAAATATAGAAACTATCTGCATGTCAGCTCTTTACAACTCTTTGTACAACTTTCTTTTTTGTAGAACAGACCTCTGTCATTGCAGAAATCCACAGCATCTTTGTAATCGTCTGCCTCAAGTTGCAGAAGCTCAATGTCTTTTTGAATTCTTTCTTGTACTTTTTGAATTGAAGGCTGATAATTTAAATACTCGTCATTGAATAAAATGCTTGTTTCTCTTGCAACTCTCAGCATTATGGAGGGGGAATTTCTTTTCAAAAAATAAAAAGGTAAAAAGAGAGGCCCCAGTTTAGGGCCTTCCCCATATTGCCCTATTTTGTCATTTTTGCAAGTCACATTTCATCATGGATAATTACTAGCTCTCTTTTTGTTTGGTACTGTACACCTTTCGTCATTGTCTTTTACTGTGGGACCAAACAATGAGTTTTTATTGACGAACGTGGGTTTCTGCAGGACAGGGATTAATAAGATTTATTAAATCACATCATTACACACCTGACATGACTCGAACGTGATTATAGTGTGTCAAATGGTTCCTAAACAATTCATTTAGACTCCACACTTACATTATTAGAATATCAATTACAAGTTCAATAAGTTCATTTTTTGTATTTCTTGTCAATGAAATGATTATCAGGAGGAAAACTTATCTCTGCAGTTTGTAATTTTAGGCTAAATGCGATTGAGTGTAGAACATGGGATGGAAAGCATAATAAAAGTCAGTGGCCAATAGAAATGCATGATGCATATAAATATATGCGCAGGGAGCTTTGTTAACTTTTCCAAACAATGTATTATATTGTCTCTTATGTATCGAGCAACTTACCGTAGGTTATACTATAAGCATAATGTCTGAAAAATGGCAGAATAAAGCCTGAAAAACTTTTTTAATTATCCCTTAAAAGACAAATGTTTAAGTCATAATTTTAAATGCTGACAAGCATGAATCCCTAGGAGCTGATCGCTCGGTGGAGTGCTGTTATATGAATCGAAATTGCAAGAAAGAAAATAAAAAAACTTAGCTCAACTTAATTAGCAAAGTGGCTTGATTGAACAATAAGAAAGGGACGTATATATGCGCTATTTGACCTTGTCAACTGGGGATTTATTTTTGACTTGAGAGCTGGTATTTGATGCGTGGCTCCCCGTACAAGATAAAGTGAACGTACTGACACAAACAACATTGTTCTCTTAATCCGAAGTGGTTTTTAAATAACATAATCGTCCTTTTCTCATTACAAATCATTACTTTATCGCACAATTAAAAAGTATGTAACGCTTTCTAATACAGAAGAGCATGAAAAAGAGTGCACCTAGCTGCTGCTTTGATTTTTAAAAAATCTTTGGCGAGGCTGCTGTACCTACATCTTTTTTAAAAAAAATAAAAACACAACAATGATTACAAAAGACGAAACTTCCAGCACGCCAGTAAAAGGTCATTTTCTTCATCCAACTGCCAATGGTAGACAGGATGTATTGGCTTTAAAGCAACAATTAGCCGATGCGTTGGGTGAAAATGGACCACTGTACTGGGATGCTTTACGAGATTTTGTCATGGGCAAACTCAATCGACAAGAATTTGACTTTTATGCCAATTTATACTTGAGCAGACAAAATGGTACACACAAAGAAGTTTTTCTGCAGAATGAAAAATATTAAACACCTTTTTGCCTGTAGCGTATCTTCACAATGCATTTATCTTAAGTACAGTACATAACGCACAAACGAATACACCACCTCCTTCCAAACATCGCCTTGTGGGCTGGGCAAAACGAAAGCGAGGCAAAGATGGATCATTGGCAGTGGATGGGGACAGTGATCAAGATCCCAGAAAGCGTAAACTCAAACTAGACGTCATGGCTTTGAATAAAGCTGATCGTGAAAGGTTGAAGGCACTTGTGAAATCGGGTGATAAAAACAAATTGAGACCGTATGTGGATCGATTATTAGGCACACGTATCAGTCGACCTCCTACTTTACCATTTGCATTAGACCAACTACCACAAAGTATAAAAGAAAGAAAGAAGAAGCATAGAACAGTATAAGTGTATTTAACTTTATCATAATAGATTTCAGTCAAGAATATTCAAAGGGCTTAATGGCTCCCTTATGCATTGATTTAAAGGAACTACCGACACCCGAAACTTTACATGCGAGAATGACGAGTATTGCACTAGAGAATGGATTATTAGGAGGGATCGGAGAGGATGTGGTCAATGTCATGTTATTTGCAGCAGAGAATTATATCAAGTCATCCATCACTAGCGCGATAAGTAAAAGAAGAGTGAATAAGTGTATTGGTGTAAAAATGGTGCGTCCTGAGGAGGAAGAAGAAGAAGAGAAAGAAGAAAATGCGGAGGGATCATCCATCAATTTACGTGATCTTGCCTTTGCTTATCATATTACACCCTATGTATTAGTGGAAAATCCATTAAATGCAGAGAAATTGACCGCCTTGTTGAATGACAGTGAGGATGAAGTTGTGGTAGATAATTTGGGCGACAGCAGCTCAGAGGAAGATTACGAGTTGTAAATGTCATACTCTATTAATAAAATATCCTAATTTGTTTGCTTAAAATAAAGCTTTGCTGGCTGGGCGGAGTAGAAAAAATTAATTTTTGGTGTAACGCTTGTGACGATTTTCTACATGAAAAAAAACACATAAACCAGTCCCAAAGGCAACACCAAAAAAAAAAAAAAAAAAAAGGTTATTTGACACATAAAAGTTTTTTTTTTTTAGAGATCTTCTTTAATCAAGTACTGGAACTTTTTTTTTAGAAAATGTCTGCACCTACTGCTGCCTCTGCTGCCCCAGCTGTTGATGCTGCCGCTGCTCCTGCTGCTGACGCTACCTTGACAAGCAAGGATTACTACTTCGATTCTTATGCCCATTTCGGTAAGTTGTTTGAATAGAAAAGAGAAAGTCTTTGATCTAACAATTGTCATTAGGTATTCACGAAGTAAGTTTATCTGTTTTGTATGTGAGGGAAAGGTTGGTTTATTTATAGTTATTATTATTAGGAAATGTTGAAGGATGAAGTCCGTACTTTGTCTTACCGTGCTTCCATCTACAACAACAAGCATCTTTTCAAGGATAAGGTTGTTCTCGATGTTGGTTGTGGTACTGGTATCCTCTCCATGTTTGCCGCCAAGGCCGGTGCTAAGCACGTCTATGGTGTAAGTTGCTAAGAATAGAGCATATCATAGAAAAAAAAGTACTGATTTAAATGTAGATTGATATGTCCAATATCATTCACCAAGCTCGTATTATTGTCAAGGACAATGGTTTGGCTGATAAGGTGACTCTTATCCAAGGAAAGATGGAAGAAGTTGTTTTACCTGTTGATAAGGTAGACATCATTATTTCTGAATGGATGGGCTACTTTTTATTGTATGAGTCCATGCTTGATACTGTTCTTGTTGCTCGTGACAAGTACTTGGCACCCGGTGGTATGATTTTCCCTGACAAGGCCATTATGTGTATTGCTGCTATTGAAGATGGTGACTACAAGGATGAGAAGATTGGTTACTGGGATAACGTGTATGGTTTTGACTACTCCTCCATCAAGAGCATTGCTATTAAGGAACCCTTGGTTGATATTGTTGAACCTCGTTGTGTGATGAGTGACACTTGTGCTTTCAAAGAAATTGATATTGCCACCGTTACTAAGGAAGACTTGAACTTTAAGGTTCCCTTCAAGATTACTGCTGAACGTGATGATTATGTTCATGCTTTCATCTCTTGGTTCGATATTGCCTTCACTCATTGTCACAAGCCTGTTGAGTTCTCCACAGGTCCCTTTTCCAAGTACACTCACTGGAAGCAAACTGTCTTCTATACACCTGAGGCTTTAACCTTGAAGAAGGGTGAGTCTATTGAAGGTGAATTAACTTGTTCTCCCAACAAGTCCAACCCTAGAGATCTCGACATCATTATCGATTACAAATTTGAGGGTGCTCACGGTACTGTTCACGAAGTCTGTGATTACAAGATGTCATAGATAATTTATTATTTTAATTTTTACTATTATTCTTTTGTTATATATATACATTTTTTTCTTTTCCCTTTTTTGTTACACCTAAACCCTGTAAACTGCATTCCTTTTTTTCCCTCCATTTTTTCATATAAAAATAAAGCCCTAACTTTTTTTTTTGTTTCTACAACTAAGCCAAGACTTTGCTTTCCCATTGCTACACACACTACTGCTCGCATCAGCTTAAAATAAGAAAGCTATCCCACGTGATACATTGCGTCATTTTAAAAAAAACAATGCCATTATTTTTTATATATATATGCTTTGGGGGGTAAAAAAAAGGGAAAAAATTAATAGTTGTAGTTATCACGGGAGAAATTGGGATCTTGAATGAAAGCGGCAAGCACTTTACTGCCAGTCTGCAATAAGGGGTGACCAGCCACACTAAAAAATATAAGGAGGTGAATATCAAAATTATGCAGTTTTTTTGGTGTCTTATTACATTTGTAAGAATCGCTCTAAACCTTCTCTACGCTGTTCGATAACCTCATCTGCAAATCTATTTGTAAAGACCTTTCCTGGTAAAGGGGGAATATTCACTCTTGTCGACTCACGCTCCAAAACATCTCTAAACCACTCGAAATCACTGTATCTTCTACGAACTGCTGATTGTTTCAACTTGAAGGCCGGGATGTTTGTCTAAAAAAAAAAGAGTACGTAGCGTTTAATAAGCTATAAGCAACATGTCAAAAATACCCCCTATATACTCACTCTGCAGAGAATCTCATAATCTGTGTACATTTTACGTCCAAAACCTACACTTTTTATGATTAGCCTTCTTTTTTATTTTGCTCAGCTTTTTTTTTTTTTTTTTTTTACCGTGTGTTTGAGGGTTTTTGACTTCAATCTCTAAAAAGTTCTCGGGAATGCCATAACGTTCTTCGATAGTTTGATCTCGGGTAGAAGCGCCCGTCATGGTTTGAAAAGACTGAAATTTATGTTGACCTGTAGACATTGTTTGACAAAAAAGAATAAAATAGAACGACTTTTTTTTTTTTTTATTTTATTAATACAACTGAGATTTAAAAAACTTGTTCATCGGTCTTTCTCTTTTGACCAGCTCTTGCTTTAGGACCCCAATTGGCAGTAGGGTTAACTTGATAACGTACCAAATGTTCTGCCTTAGATTGGGAAGTGGCATCGGGATGCCTTGTGAAATCAACCTCAATCGTGGGTTCTTTAGCCAAAATGGCTCGTGCAGGAGAATTCTCTGCAATATTGTTCATCACAACAGGATTCTTCTTTACCCAAGCACGCATGATATCCCACATCACATGTGAGGGTGCGTCTGTCTTGACCGATTGCTTACCACAATGTGAGTTGGATACTTTGTAGCCTGCGTTCAAAATGGCCGAGAAAAGATCCACTACAGGAATACTATTACAGTGAATCGTACCGCATAAACGGGCCAATGTCCAATAAAAGGGTGTATGGATTTCTTCCTTAATCACTGACAGCATACCCTTCATACGTTGTGCTGTGCCATAGTTTGCTTCATTGTCCTTGACGTGTTGGAGCATCTTGGCTACAAACTCGTCGTTATGGATATTATCACCCCATGCAGGGCCACCAATCTATTCAGTAATTGGTTGGTTAGCTTTACTTAGTAACACACAATCATAAAAGAGAGTACGTTACGTGGTGAATGTTGTTACAGTTGTCACATAATGTGTTGACAGAGGGACCTGTACCGGGTGTATGTCTTTCAGCACCATTGTCCTTGATGGACATTTTTCCGAGATGTTGCACAGAGAAAGCATGACATCCAGAACATTCATACACAATAGCCATCTTACTAGCTGATTTTTTGACCTGTTGTGGAGAGGTATAAACACGTACAAATACACGTAAATAGAAATCAATGCTACAAGAAACAAGAGGAACAATATGACGCTTATAACGACCAGCCGAAGTTTGTAACATTTGTAATACTAAACGAAGTGCCATTTCATGAGGGAACATACCCTTGAGAGGCATACCACCGTATTTACCAAAACAAGTTTCAGGATGCATGGAACCAGCAAGAATAGCAAGATCAGTACAGGTAACACATAATAATCCACCTTCGGATACAGCTTGCACAGCACCATCAACAAAAGGAGCTGCACTACCATAAGGATCTAAATCAACAACATCGTATTTCAAATCGGTACCCACAGTATCATACATGACACGCATGGCATCACCCAAATTGGGCTTGACTTTCTCTTCGGATAATCCATTGTATTTGACATTGCGTCTGATAGATTCAATGGCATCTGTTTCGATATCGTTGCAGACAACTTGCTTTAATTGAGGAATTTCTTTGGCGTAACGAACAGAACGAAGTCCACTGGCTGAAAGGGCTTCGAGAATCGTAAAGTTATCTGACGTGTTGTGTTTATCCAATGCATTCTGAATAGCTGTCTTTGACTTTTCGTCTATAAATTATATGTTAAAGGAAGGATATAATAAAATCTAGACTTATATTGTACCTTTAGCTTTGGCGAGCTTCTTCTCCATACGCTCGGCCTTCTCCTTGTTGAATATCTCGCTCCAAGTACGAATAGCAGCAATAGACATGTCACGATTGAACTGTTGGACAGGATTATAAAAGACTTCGTTTTTCTTAGGGAAAAGAATGGTGGCTGTTCCTTCTGTCACAGTATTATATTGTGTAATATCAATGTCTGGAGAAGCCATTTCGACGTCGGGGTTGAGGGTAGTCATGGTTCGTTTATTATTATTATTTATTAATGGTTTAAAACGAAACAACCTCTTCATTCAAAAGAAGAAAAAAAAAAAAAGATTTTTTTTTTCTTTTTTGTATGTAAGACGTGACTTTGTTTTTAACGGTACAGAGAACAAGTCTTTTTGAAGGCTTCCAATACTTCAGGGCTTCGAGAAGCTAAAGGTGCTGTAGCTAAAGAAGTAGGGATATTCTCGGGTTGTTCGATCCATTTCTTGAAAGGAATATTATGGGTAGTAAGTACCTCTGCTAATTTCTCTAAAGATCCCTCGTTCTTTGTCTATACAGTGGTGTCAACTGATGTCAAATATATGACTATATTTTATTATACCTCTAATACTACTTTATGCATGTTGTCCAAATCATCCAAGTATGCTTTGGTATTTTCGTCCTCACGAGTCAAGTGCAAAATAGCAGTCGCTGCATGACACGCCTGAGTCATTACACTACATTATTTATCAGTACCTCATAAATCACGTCAATCATATCATTTTACCTGCCAGTGGGCCACTGGAGTTTCTACAAAAAAGACGTGGTGAGAATATGCTGTGTCGGTTTAGAGACGAATTACTTTGGCAAGATCCTTGCGGACAACAATAAACATGGTCAATGGTTCCATTGGAGTAAAAGGAATGAAAAAAGAGAAAAGAGTACAAGAGTCACAAAAAATGTTAAAATTTTAAATTCTCCCTCTTTTTATCTTTTTTTTTTTTTTTTCTTATACCATGGCTAATTATGAGGAAGGCATTTTACATGAAGGACAGTTATTACTCGAAACCCAAGAAAAGGTTTGGTGTCACTTTTTTTTTTAAAAAAAAACAAGAGAAACAACGCGCGCGTAGTGTGTGTGTGTGTGTTTGCGTGTATGTTGTTGTTGTCTTTTAGTAAACTAAAAAAAAAGTTTGGCTAGATCATTGCTTGCACAAAAGAATTAAACGATGTAGGAATCAACGACATGATTGAGAAACTTCGACAAGTCGAAAAAAAAGTATCGATTGTCTTGACCTTTTTTAAAGCCGCCATGTATACAAATATCAGTCAAGAAAAGGACAATCAAACAAATCGACCTGTTATATAGATAAAAAGGTGTGATTTATTTCTTTTCAACAGGAGCTGTCTCCTTCTTGTTCTTTGGGTTTTCAGCAGACTTGGCCCAGTTTTGAGCCTATTAGTTAAATAAATTCTTAGTGTCGTATTTAATCTCAGTAGTCTTATATCCTTAGGCACTTACAGCTTGTTTGAAAGCCTATGATTGAAAAAAAAAAAAAAAAAAAAAAAGAGATTTAGTAAGAAAAAATTTTAGCATAAGAAATTGTCGTTAATAAAACTTACATCCTTATGTGTGATACCGGGTGTGGTTTCCTTTACTCTTCCGAGCTCAGTCTACAAAAAGAAAAACGCATAAGCCTACGTGTTATCCTATACAAAATCTTCTTTACCTTCATAAACAAGTTGTAGGGAGTCATCTTCTTGGCTATCGTCCAAAGTGACACGCATTTTTTTATTCAGCCTTCTTCCCCTCATTTAAATTGATTAAACACTTACCAGACTTCTTGATAACCTTATCTTTAGCCATTATGTTGAAATTAAAAAAAAAGTATGTTCTTATAACAAAGAGAAGAAAGAAGTGAGAGTTCAAAAGTTTTCAGTTTTTAAATATGTGGCAGATGAGCGTAGCCAATGATAACTTTCATCTTTTTCAAAAAAAAAAAAAAAGTGACGTCAAATTTTGGGATGCTTTCGACTTATGAGCGGTTTTTAAAAGTAGAGGACGTCTTTTGCTTTTGATTTTTTTGTGTTGTGATTAAAGCTGGCCAATTCTTCGAGCTCAATTTCATTCAAAGGATATTCCTGGCGGTTAAGGTATGAATGTTAGAAAGAAGAGTGTCAAATTCTGTTGAAGAATCACTTGGAGCAGTGGAAGGAGTTTGTTCAGCTGAAGTAAGAAGGCCTGAGCTATCAGGCTAGTTCTAGGGAATGTTTAAGAAAGTGGAGTCGAAAGAAACTATTCAATTTAAGGTTAGTAGAAAAAAGATTTCAGTAGTATTTATGTCTGCCTTCAAAGACAGAAAACAAAGACATATAACGCGTTTACAAATACATGTGTTCAATTGGTTGTGCCAACTCCCCACATAACTATTTGTCTCAATGTTCGTGTAAACGTTGATAAGCGACTAATCATCGCATATAGAAATCGTTTTTCAGGTACTATCTTTTAAAGTACTGCAAAAAATCGCGATACCCAGAGTATTCGGCGATAAATGCCGTTAGTTTTCTCGTGGAGACAGGTCTATCATGTTCCCACATCAGTGCCTTGAGACCCGCGATAACTTTGTTCTGGACGGTTTTTTTGTGGTGGGTATCTCCAGGCTAGACTAATGGTCGGATTTTCCCTGTCCAGGCTCTAGTTGCTACATGAAACAAGCACCATTGCACACTTGCCAAAGGATATACTTCTTGAATCGCACCCAACTCGGAACTACTGACATCGATAGTGATTTTCTCGATGTTCAAGATCACAAAAGTATTCCTGAATAACCCTAAGAAGTTGGCCAATGGACCCATTGATTGATCGATTGTGAATAAAAAGCAACAGGACAGCATGTGTCAGTTAAGGGATGGTGCCTGAAAATTGTGTATAGGATTTCGTTTGAAAAAACTGGTAGTGATGTGGATAGAGTCAATACATACCCTACGAGCTTTTATTAACTATTGATGGACTACATGGCATACAGACGACCTTCAGAATAGCTGGGCATTCGATCTTCTTGCTTTTCTTCTGCAAACTGCATACCTGGCCAGAAGCGTCGCCTCGGACAACACCAGCATGTTCTATTTTGGAGCTTGAACGATGACATACATAGTGTTCTCTAAAGACATATAGGCTGGCTTTCTTTGTCTACCATTCAAGTTTCCAGTAGGGACATCTTGATGTTTGTCAAAATTCCATTTTACACCATGTTTGGAAACAGATTCTTGAATCACAGTTTCATTGGTCTCGATAGTAACTGCTACAGTAACAGGAACAAGAATAGGACAATAAGGTTGGATGTTCATTTACATTTTATACAAATAATAAGAAAGGTAAGCTGTAAAAGGAGACTTGCAGGAAAAAGGAAATTTTATAAATTCTGTTATTGGGCCCGATTGGATTTTAAATCATGTCCTATATTGCAATGCAATAAAAAATATAACTTCAAATATACATCAAAACTTTGCTTTTAAAAGTAAATAATATCAAAGGTTTTTATCGTACTAAGTTGATTTTATATATTATTATTTTTCAAGTTATATACTCTCGACTTTTTCTTTCTTTATTCCTTTGTTCACCAAAAGAAAGAAAAAAGAGGACGGAAGTATCGTAAAAATGAATAAGTGTAAATGATACTCAATCTAGTTTATTAAATTTTGTAGACAAAAGATCTATTCAACTGTCCAAACGTGGCTATTTACTTTTGAGCTGATTGTGCTGACCTTTGATTATATTTTCCTTTTGTTGTACTGCCCAATTTTTTCTTCATTAAAGGTAATTTTTTCCTCATGAAAGGTTTTTTTTTGGCAATGGAGGCAAAAGGCTTTTACTGATGGCCAGTTGGGTACCAATACAACATTTATCTATCCAAGGAAGAAGGCAGTCTAGATTTTGGTTTCCGTTACAAACAGTGTTCTACACTGCTACAGGTTTGATAAGTCTATATACGTTCTATGCAGTCTATTCGCAAAAATTCAGTCTTACAGTTACTTTAATTATTTTATAGCATAATATCATGATGGTTTGCTCATCGAAACTGTTCCCCCAGTGTCCAGTGGTATCTCTGATTAATTGGTACGTGATATAACTTTTTCTCTGTTGTATCATTATATGTTCATACTAACGCTAAAGTTGTATAAATGCTAGCTAAAGACGATGCAAATGACAAGGAAACTTAGATATGTTTCTATAGCTGCGGATTCAACACTG